GCTCTGTTTAAGTAGCACTCTCCCTGCTGCACCACCACAGCTGCGGGTCAGTCTTTCTAACTAGGCCTCATCACACTTGGCTAAGGTCATTAATTAGCCCTTACTCTCCAGCTTCTCACTGAGGCTGAGGGCTAGATGCTAAGTCGGGGCAAGGCTGAGCACAGCTTGCCTCCAAGGGCTGGCCAGCCTGTGACAAGATGCTTCCTACGTTGACAGAAGGTGTTTTTTCTGTTGATTCAGTTAATCCACCCCTCTAAGAGGTGATAGCTAGGTTCACAGAAGTTCTTCTATTGACCTAGCCATGTCTACACCAGCGGTTAGGCATGAATTTTTTCACAGCCCTGACCAACGTAGATAGGTCAAACTAGTTTTGAAATGTAGACCAGGCCTCAGTCTCCAGGAGCAGACCCTGGGAAGAAAAGTGACACTGGGCTCTGGTTCGACTGCCATTCCTCCAGTGCCGTGCCCTGGTGCTCTCTCCAGGCTAGCACAGCAGACAAAAATGCATGATAACAAATGGAAAGGGTGGCAGGGGCTCCATTTATTGAAAATGATCATTTCTATTCTAGTGCAAACATAGTATATTTTACATCACAAAGCAGGATATAATTTACGGAATATATTTTCACAAGATCTCAAAACCCCTCAGTGGTGTTTGCATCCAGTCCATCATCTTCCCAGTGTTTTTATTTCCCACCACCACTTAAAATTCCATACAGTCCATCACCACCTTGTTTCTGGACAGACCAAGGATGGAGAGTTGCTCATCAGTATTTGTTCATGAGTGTCAGAGGGGGATATGTCTCATGAACATGTTCTACCGTATGGGTCCCCAAACTTTGTGACACTAAGGGTTAACTAGGTAGCATCTAAGGAGCCCAGACAGAATGCACCTGGAGCTTCCACTAAAGCTATGGAGAGTTTCATGCCTTCACAATCAGGCCCCTAATTTGCTTGTATATTGATACAGTTTTATAAAATACAGAGTAAACACATGTGATCACACTATTGTGCTTTTGCTGGATAGATGAATAGAAAATTGTTTGTTGGTTGAAGTCATCAGCAATGAAAACCTGCAGTTGATCAACTTTGTCCGTGGACTATATTTACAAAAGCTGGTGGGTGCTGAGTGCATTTTTGGATGTGGTGGTTTTGCATCTGGCCCTTGTCGGGATACTCCCACTCTGACCTGGTGAAAGTTTACCAATGGGAGGGTGAGAATCCAGCAGAAGGGAAAACTTCACCAAAAATAAAATCCTTCCCGCCTGAATAATAAGGCAAAACCTGGAGACATTTCTATGGCTCCACTGCTGCATATACTTATGCATGCGCATAACTTTACTCATATACAGTGAATGCGATTACTGTCATAAATGAAGTTAAGCATGTGCATAAGTGTTTTCAGGATAGGGCCTTAGTTAAGTCCTGGTATTTACAGGCATATCTCAGTTTAAGAGTGACAACAATTCAGGGAACACAAATTCGGCAACTTTGGTCCCTGGAGTTTGTACATTTGTCCTCTCTGAGCGGTTTTCCCACCAGCATGAGAAATGGATTCCTTTGCTGAGACTCAAGGTGATTTCTGCCTGCAGAAGATGCCTCATGGTGTATCAAACAGTGGAGAAGGGCTAGGGAACCACAAAAATGCAGCATTCATTGATTGAAAACTTTGGCCCAGATTCTCAGCTAGCATCTGTCCTCCATTGACTTCATCAAAGCCATGCCAATACATACCCACTGAAGATATGGCTCTTGATTTTAATTTGGATGTGAGTCCCCTCCCCCAAGCTCTGCTTGGCGCAGGATTGGGTGAGCTGAAAGTATCTCAAGTGTCAATTTAAAAGCTGAGAAAGAAAGGAAAGCGGAAGCTCTTTGGGCCATTTCCTAGAACAAGGGTCAGTAACCTTTCAGAAGTGGTGTGCTGAGTCTTCATTTATTCACTCTAATTTAAGGTTTCACGTGCCAGTAATACATTTTAACGTTTTTAGAAAGTCTCTTTCTATAAGTCATTAATATATAACTAAACTATTGTTGTCTGTGAAGTAAATAAGGTTTTTAAAATGTTTAAGAAGCTTCATTTAAAATTAAATTAAAATGCAGAGCCCCCCCAGACCAGTGGCCAGGACCCGGGCAGTGTGAGTGCCACTGAAAATCAGCTCGAGTGCTGCCTTTGGCATGCGTGCCATACCCCTGTCCTAGAAGTTCACTATGGTGATTGGACCGCTCCACACAGCATCTAATCTCAGGAGTTCTGTGAAGATGAACCATCACCCTCCTTAACCCCAACACAGAAACACAGTTATCCAAAAGAAGACAATTTCTCGCTGCTGGGAAAACTCAGCTCCGAATTCATAGTTTAAGACACCACATAGTATTTTGTGCTGAGCTATTTCCTTTCATCTGAACATCTCCATAAATGAAGCCTCACAACACTCCTGTGCGGTAGGTAAGTACTAGTCTCCCCATATTGCAGACTAGGAGAGCCAGGCACAAGAGGTGAAATAACTTGGCCAGTGTCACACAGTGAGTCGGCAGTGGACACAGCAGCTCAACCCGGGAGTCATGACTCCTAGTGCCCTGCTAAATAATACAATGCACCTCAGAAAATGGGAGATAACATTAAATGCTTTCCAATATTTACACTTTCTTGTAAATGTATTCCTATCCCCTTCCAGAATGTATCTGTAGGCTGGTGCTGGAAATAGTGGATAATTAAAGGGTCTCTTTGTTCTGGCACATATCTAAGTCCCATTGGTTGTGTCTACACAAACATTTTTCATTTAAATTTCTCCCTATTGCACTTCCGTCCACTGATGGTAACAGCAGACGGAGGTTGAGTGTGGGCCAGTCACAGCCATTTTAACCACTGTGTTGGCTCAGTTTGCTCTGGGGGCTATGCCCCACAGTGATTTGAACACCAGTAATTGTTGATTGCTGTGCCACCAGCAGAATGGCACTTTTGGTAGTGTAACAATAGTGTCATCCCCCAGGTAATCAAAAATCATGAGTCAGCCACCCCCAATAAATCGTAAGATCGACTTAAAAATAATAATTCATAGAAATGTAAAACTGGAAGAGACCCCAAGAAGTCATCTGGCTTGTCCCCCCGCCCACACACATGAGGGCATTGGGTCCTGTAAATATTGGGTCCTTTTTCTTTACTGTCTAACTTTTGAGCCTTTAGGTGACACTTGGGTCACCCTGTCTCGCTTTTCTCCACAACCACAAGGGTTAGAATTTTGGGGGGGTGCAGTAGGGGGGTGCTAAATAAAAGCTGAGATTTTCTTGCAATCATGTGACTCCAGGACCTGTGGCTTTAGGAACCCGTCAAATATCCAAATAGGGTCATGAGGGTCAGCAGCCTTTATGCAATGGTGGGAAGTCTGAAGCGGAATGCTTGTGCCGACTAGACAGTGGCTGGCTGTACAGAACTCTTAGGGACATCTACAACTGTACATGACCCTGCTAGCTAGAGCTCAGAAGCTAAGCAGAGTTAGATAGAGAACTAGAGGGGTAGGACAATCTGCTTAAAAATCTGAACTGTTTTGAAGGGCAAATTCTACTCAAGTCGGAGGGAGGGACGGCAAGTCTATCTGACCGGCATGGCATGTGGACTCCTAAATGGACTGTCCTGTAAGGTTGGGCAGCACAGTTGCACCCTGGTGTTGGTGACTCAGCAGGAGGCGCTCATCCCTTGGATTCAGTCCTGAACCAATCCACACCAGAACACATGGAGGCGCCGTCTTTTAGATACAACCAAAATCCCGGCTGCATGGGGGATTAGCTCCTCACCTCATGCAAACCAGCCTAGCACTGCAGTCAGCGGAGCGACACTGTTTACACCAGCTAAGGATCTGGCTCTTGGTTCATATGCTTTTTGCAAGTGTTAAGCCTGATGCTCAGGCTAAATTCTAATTGATATTCTGCCTACATAACATTTCACCTTCATTTTAAATGGCTGTGCGTGGTTTTAGAATGGTGGGGCCCATTGCTAGACCAAAGCCACATTCCAGCCAAAAGGTGCCTGCTTCAGCACCTAGATATAGATCTACGGTACTGTTTGGGAAATGCTCTGTGTAGATATAATCATCAGATCAGTGCCCAATGCTTACTCACATCGAGTAATACCTTGAACGGTCCATTGACTTCAGTGGGGCCATTCAAGGAGCAAAGTTCTACTCAGTGTGAGCAAAGGTCTCAGAACCTGTCCCTCAATGGCTCTCCTTCTGTACATAAGTGTTACTCGGCATGAGAAAGGCAGGCAGAAGCAGGTCCCCAGGTTTCACTCAGGCATACTCCCACTGGCAGCAGCAAAAACACAAGGGGATCATCTTTCCCTCAGAACATATGCATGGGGGGAAACTTTCCAGGCACACATCCAAGACAGCTCCATAATGTTGTCCCTCCTCTCTCTAGACCCAGACAAGGTGGGGGGGAAGTACAGAAGGGCATTTGATAGGAATCTCATTCCTGTCTGAGTCTCACAAGAGGCAGGGCGTTTCAGGGGGAAAAGCACTGCTGGCCCCTGCTGTCTTACCTTAGTGTGGAATCCCTCCATGGTTGGAGAACCCCCTCTATCACCTGGTACGGTGCCTAGTGGATAGTCCTGTGTCTTCGGTGGATTTCCCAAGATCTGGCTGGATCTGAAGTGCTGGAAGGCCAGAGTCCTCACTTCTCTGGAGGAGCAAACCCTACTCACTCCACAAAGGGAACCTCACAATATGTCTTTCCCCAGAGCCTTGTTGGATGGGTTTTCCCAGAGGAAGAGATGATCTAGCCCTGAATATTGACCTCCTGATTTGGATCAACTGGACCCTGAGTTTTGCCTGACTAAAGACACAGGGATTTGGCCGATAGCTTGTAATGTGCTGTGGCCTTCTGTGAGATGAAATGTTCTAAGCATAAGCTATTTATTATTACTATGATCGTGAGCAGCATACGACCATAAATGGGAACCTGGCACTCCGTCTCTATAGAAACTTGGCTGGAGCACACACATCTTGAACGTTTTCAATGTATTTTTATTTTGTTTAATAAAAAACACCAACCAAGCTTGCATGTATATCTTATATATATAAATATATACAGTATATATAAAACAAATGCGTTTGGACAACACTTTTACCTGTGGCACAAAACATAAGGCATAGAAAGAAGCATAAGGCAAAGTCCTAATCTTTGAGCTCCTGAGCAATCTCCCCTATGCAGACACGCACTCTGGCTTGAGAAGGATCTTCTCTTCTTTGGCTTTGCAAAGAGGCTGGGCCAGAAATAATCAGAAAGAGGCGAATAAGTTCTAAACTCAAGATGGCTGTGAATGAAACAATGAACATTCCAGACAACTGGACTAGAGGAACTCACCACGTTGCTCAAAAAGCCTCCTCAGAGGCTAATGATAACGACTTTGCAGCTGCAGCCTTGCTCTGGAGTGATGGAAGGATACTTCGATCTCATGCGGATACAACGGAGAGGGCTTTGGCTTCGGAATTCCCTTTTCTAGAGTGAGCTGGGGCATAGGAAGTGAGGGACACGGTGCTGAACCTCAGGAAAGTCTAGGGGAGAAGTTCAAAGGCTGGATCGATAGGGTTTCTTTTGCAGTCACGTATAAAATAAACAAGAAGGATGGAATTGTCCTTAACTGAAGAAGCTCATAGTATACTGAGCAGAAGCGATAAACCTGACACAAAGTGGTGACATTATCCCACAAGGAAAGAGGAACACCATAACTAATTTGCAGTTCATTTTTCTCCTGCTTTTGTCCCAATAGTCAGTTCAGGGTTTATTTTTCAGCATGAGCAAACTGCTAAGCAGGACGGGTGTCATTTTGTTTTACTCTTTCTTTGAGACAGTGTTTAATTGACTGTCGGTACTTGGTTCCTCTGTAAACTATATTCCTTTGCTTTCAGTCTCAGGTTGGCAATGCTGTTGGCCATGTTCATGCCCTGGGCAGGGCTAGCATTGGTACACGTAGCAGAATAGGTAGCCATGGCGCTGTTGGGGTGGAGAGAAGAGGAGAAAAGAAAGAAAAACAAAATCAGAATCCAGCTGCAAATCAGGGCTGCATTGAACTCGGAAATCAGTCGCTAGGAGAGCGGGTGCTGGCGTGGGCATATATCATGATGTATAATGTTTCAGTTATTGGGTGCAACATTCCTTACCATGACTGGACATTTTAGTAACTTGTCTTTTAGCGCACTGATGGATCACCCTGTTTAACCGCATTTCCCAGGCTACAGCCAGCTGAAGTCAAAGGGTTTTGAACCAGGCCCACAATGATCAGTTTATGCGACCAAAGTACACAAGAATGTACTACAAATAGTCACCAGATGCAAAGTTCACATCTAGAGCCAACCTTTGTCAAAGTTCAGGGGAGCTCGGGTCTGAGGTCCTGGTTCTAGAATATACCGGAAGGAACACACCTGCATTAGCAGGAAGATAGACTAGACACAGCCCTTTTCCACTTCTGACTTCTATGATTGGAGAGTCTTTCTAATGGCAGGTTTACCTTGGGAAAATTTGGGGGTTTACTACAGGTACGGGAGCAACGGTTTTGCCAGTGCGGTGCACATATTCCAAATTGCTGGTGATATTTCTAAGTGGCCGCACAAGTCAGAGCTGGACCCTTAGAATTTTACATGCAGTTCAGTTATATTTGCTGCTCGAGACAGAAACTTTCAGATGATCCAGAAGAGACCCTATTCCAGACCCATTTCACAGGAAAATAAACTCAGGAAAGTCCATTTTGCCACAAAGACCCGGATGGACTGTGCCGCCACTTCCTGTATGGAATGGCAAGCAGTTTTATGTCATCTGTGTTCGAGCCAAGTTTAGTCAGTCACTAGCGTTCATTGTTACATCACCTGAGTGGCCTGGCCAAGGAGTGAAAACTGAGCTTCATACCAAATGCCACCGAGAAACATAAAGAACAGATCATGAACACTCACATTTCTTACTGCCCAGCCTAGACACGGGCACGGTAGCAGTGCCATGCTTTAGCTTTAGGGAACACCATCTCCTAGACTACAGGAACTATTTGACTCAGCACATCCATTCGGACATTTTTTTTCTAAACACTTCCTTTGCATTTTTGGTGGGGCTGTGGGATAAGATGGACCTTTATCACCGGATAAAACCTCAGCGGCATTCCTATCGGGACACTTTACTCCCACGGCCCTGCTCCATTTTCTCTGTTGTCCCTTTTCCTGTTTAACTGCTGATTGGTAACTGTGAACACGGATGTGGCATATCCCTTTACAGCCACCATACGGCTGTAACCTGAGATGTCTAGCACCAATTGGAGAACGAATGCACAAGGTGTTACAGAGTGTGACGGTAACTACCACTAAGGATCATGAGACTGCAGGTGCACCTGGGCAGCACATACATGATCTAACAGTCATCTCCCATAAGGCCTGACTCAAAACCTACTGTAACCAAGGGAATTCTTTGCCCTGACTTCCCAATAGCCTTTGGATCAGGTCTGTCAGCCAAACTGGCTTTATTACAAATGCTCAAACTGATTTCAACTCATATTAACTTTGTGGATGTAAAAGATACTCAGCCTGACGCAGGGAAATAATGGGGGAAAGAGGTCAAAACAGCATTAAGGATGAACAGCTTTGAATAAAATACAAACCCACCTGTACCTTTGTCCTGTATTGTAAATTTAAACCTTCAACCCTGAAGTTTTCCTGAGGTTCAATAACGTTTGGTTAAATTTATTATTAATATTTATTGGTATTGTGGTAACACCTAAGAACTGCAGTCATGGAGCAGGACCCCCTTTTGCTAGGTGCTGTACAAACACAGAAAAAAAGGATGGTCTCTATCCCACAGGGCTTGCAATCTAAGGGTATGTCTACACTCCTCAAGCCGACGTACCCACGCTAGCTTGAATCTGGCTAGCTCGGGTCTCAGAACAGGGAAACTGTGGTATCAGCATATCTGATCCTGCCTGGAACCCGGGGTAATCACTTCCAGGGCTAGCCCGTGCTGCCACAGCTTCACTGCTCCAATACCTGAGCTAGAAAGATTAAGGCAGACTTGGATATGTCAGCTTGAGCTGCAGTCGTACCCCATGATTGCAGTCTCGACATACCCTGTGCAAACTATGTTTAACTTTAATGCTACATCTACCTTTCCAGAACAAAAGTAGAAATTACTTGTTCCCGAGAAATTCCCTGAGCAGTTTTTCAGGAACAATAGGTGTGGGTCATTCAGATAAAAGCCCGATCTGAACTGAGGAACTTGCAATGATTGCCTGATGCTGGTTTAAAGACCCCAAGGAAATAAAGTGCACTGAATGAGTGACACAATTTTAGAAAGAATCCTGAGAGTTTGATAGGCTACATTTCTCACGTGTACTGCAGACAATTGAGGAGTATCAGGAAATCAGTTCAGTTTGGGATTTTGTCAAGGCTATTCCCAGTTTTCTGTGATTTTTAGCTGTATCTAAATATCATAATGTAATTTATGCTAATAGGCTGGCATACACCCCTGCACAAAAGGCCATACACCACTTAAGTCCTTAAAATACATTTTGTATGAGACTCAAGTCGTATCTGGGCCAGGGGGTGGGCGAAAACCTGGGGGTGGGCGGTGTTGGGGAGCCTAACACCCCTGCAATAGAAATACGCTGGGAGTTCTGCTCCCATGTAAACTTGTGCACAGCTGGGGGAGTGATGAAGGGGACCTGGAGAAGCCGGAGTGGCACCCAGGACTGGGCTGGGGAGCAGAGAGTGGGACCTGGAGGGTCTGGAATGGGCCCGGGAGCAGGTAGGATCCCCCAGGATCCTCCTTCCCAGCCTAGAGCCAGCTCCCGTTCCCTCCTGCCCCAGGCTGAGTCTCAATATCTCCCCTTTCTCTCTCCTACCCTTCTACCCTGCACCCCAGCCTGCCTGGTCCTTGTGCTGGCCCTCTGCCCAGAGGTGAATGTCATCCTCAGAGTTTTGAAAGCCCTCTAATGTATGGAAACCTATTTTCATTATACTGGTGTAGAGCACTCAGCACAACAGGGCCCAGATCTTTTACTGTGGCCTGGAGGAACTCCCATGATACAGATAGTGAATAATAATTACACTACCCAGAATCCCAAACAGGAAGAGTCTGCTTGGAGAGTGGAAAAATACTGTAGTGTTTAGTAGCACAACTCAAGGTTTCTGTTTTTCATTCAGTTAAAAATCCCAGCAACCTCATCTGCACGACTATATCACAGATCTGGCTAAATTTCATCTCCCCTCACCAGCAAATGGGTAGACATAAATCCATAATAGGTGCCCAGTTCAATGGGATTTGGGCATCTAATTCCTTTAAACTCCTTTTTCCAAGCTCCGTCTACACGACAGAGGCACGGCAACGGTGCTACAGCAGTGCCACTGGACCGTCGATGCTTCCTACACCAACAGGAGGGGTTTCCCCATCGATGTCCATAATCCGCCTCTCTGAGATGTGGATTGACGGAAGAGTTCTTCTGTCAGCTTTGCTGCACTTACTGTGTGGGTTGGGGGCCATGACATTTTTCTCAGCCCTGAACGATGTAGCTAGTTTGACATAAGTTTTAGGTGTAGGCCAGGCCTCAGTCTTTTTGTTACAGTGGCTCCTGATAGAGGCTGGTTTGGCTTCAGTGCTAACCGTCCTGCCTGCACCGTGAATTATAATAACCAGGTGGTCAAAGGTCTCTCAACAATAACTTAGGATAGGAGAATTGGAGGAGACACTAAATTTTCCACTCTCAACACGTTCTACTTCAACAGCAGTCGTCATACAAAAGAACAAACACCTGTCAGGGATGGACTAGGTATATTTGGTCTTGACTCAGCATAGGGGTCTGGACTAGATGAGCTCTCATGGTCCCTTCCAGGGATACATTTCTATGATTCTGTGCAATGCAGCATAGAGCTGTGCGAATAAAAAAATTGTCAGTTTACCGGCAAGTCAAAAAAAAATAATTAAAAATTTCATTTCAAGTCTACCCAGAACATTTTTCAAAATTTTCAGAGAATTGAAAAGTAAAAGAAAAAAAAAGTTTCCTTCAACCCGAAATGTTTCATTTCGGTTTCAAGCATTTTCAATTGTTTTTTTCATTAAATGAAAGGACATTTTGAGGCAAAAAAGTTGTTTCAAGCTAAAAAAAAACATCGATTTTGAGGGGAATATTTTGTTAGGGTTTTTTGCAAAATATTTTGATGTTGCCAAATCTGCATTCTTCACTGAAAAAAAGATTCCGCTGAAATTCACCAGCTCTAATGCTACAGGCCTCTACAACGTTCCCAGACACAACAGCTAACAACAGCGTCCTTGCAGCATCTTCGGCCATTATTGGAGAATACTAGGGGAGTCATGGAAAGGGGTTATTATACAGCTTGGGAGCCTGGAGCTGGATCTCTCTTTCACTTACTTACATTGTACTATAGCGACCCCAGCCCAGTGAACTACTCCATAGTCTGCTTCATAGTTTGTGTGATTCTATTCCAGTGCATTTCTTAATCAACTCCAGAATATGTCCAGCAACTGACTGAATTTTGAGGGGTGCAGAGAACAGAGTACACACAGGAGAGCAATTGGCCTATAAAAGATCAATAGTTGAATACCCCCACTGCTGTCTTCTTTTGGTTCCAACATAGGGGTGTTACATTTAACTCCCACCAACACTAAGAAGCTTTGTTTGCATACATTGTAAGATGGTGCAAAGAGGCCAGGATACAGGATTTGAAGCAAATACCTCCTTACTTCTAATTTTGACTCTGCTACTGTGTTTCTATGAGGCCTTGACCAAGTCACTTGCTTGCAGTGGAATTTAGGGGCCAAAATACTTTTGAGGATCTGGGCCTTAATCTCTCTGCTTCACTTTGCCCATCTTCTAAATGGGAATAATACATCCCGAGCTAACAGGGGTGCTGTGAGACGTGGTGAGCTAATGGTTGCAAAGCACCTCAAAGATCAGCGGTATGTGGTTTGGTTAAGCACAATGAAATGTATAAGCTCCTGGGTCTTGCCTTTCTCAATTACAGGGATGGCACAAGAGTTGACAGCAGCCCATTAACTTATTTTTCAGACTAGGATAGCAACAAGGGTGTATAAAACTCACTCAGGTGTTTCCAAGACCCACTGAAGTCATTGCACAAATGCATCTTTCCTGTGTCTCCCAATAGCAAGGCAGATCTGGCAGAGATGCTGGGGGGGGGGGGGCCCTAGGTGACAAGAGTTTTTCCCTCCCCCCCCAGAAGCAAGCCCCCTGTAGACCTTCTTGTGATCACCCCAGCCTCTGTCTTGTCGGCTCTGCTGCTGGTAAAGGGCAGGGACGGTGTGGAAAGAAAGCATTAGCACGGGAAAGCAAAGGCAGAGCCATTTATTTCCCAGCCACCTACCTCAGGCAAAGCAGATCATCTCTGTGGATCTCCTGCCTTTGCTCGCCTGACATCTGCCCATGGCCACTGCCTGCAGGTGTGAGCAGCAGAGACCACGAGTTTCCCCTGCTCTGCCATCCTGCCTTGGGCCTGCACTTCCCCCAGCAGAGCTCTCATGCCTGCAGAAGGGATGGCCCCAGAGCACAGAGGGGTGTGCTAACTAAGACACCTGGGCTTCAGTAGCCCAAGTAGCCCACAGAGGAGTTTGTCACTGGGGGCACGGAGAAGGGGAGGATCAGTGATCGGGGGTGGAGGGGGCGTTGGAACAGGGCTGCTTGTCTTTGAAAGATGAACTTGGGAGCCCAACTCTCCATGTCACAGCAAACTAGGGGGTCGCAACAGGAAGCTGGAGGATGTAGGTGTGTGCTGGGAATGGATGCTGACAGAGCCGGATCCCAAAATCACTGAGCCCTCTGCAGGCCACACGCTTGCCATGTATTTCTGGGCCAGCCATAAGACTTTGTGTACAAACTGCATCCCTGAAGGGGAGAGGGCAGCCCTATGAACTGTGTTACCCTGAAAGGGAAGGGGTAGCCCTATCAACTGTAATGTGGTGGGAGGGGGAACCACTATGAGCTTGACTCAGGGCAGGGGAACCCTTATAAATGGCCTGGAAGGGACAGAACACCCCTAAACACTGTGACCTGGATTGGGCAGCACACCCATCCACACGGACCTGGACTAGCATGGGGCACCCCTCTAAACACTGCATCTGGCCTAGGCCCACCCATCTAATCCGTGAGCCTGTCAGTTTCTTCCTGCTGCCGTCCCTTCTGTGCTCACTGCCCAGGGCCTGGCGTGGCTCGCGTTCGAGCCCACTTCAGTCCCTGCTCTCCACAGCAGCCCAGACCAGCCTAGCCAGCTGGCAGTCTCCTCCTTGCCTTTCCAGTGACCATGCTGCCTCCACCCCATACAGCCCATACAGAATGCCCCCTGCCCCCTGGAAGTTACCTTTGCAGTGTCTTCTAGAATCCGTTATGAAGCCCCTCGTGTAAACAACATCTTGGGAGGGACGAGGATCTATTTTTAAAAGTGTGAGAGGTAGAAATGAGCCACGCGAGTTCAGCAGGTCCCTGGTACTGTGACCATAACAGCCATAGGGGGTGGGAAGGGAGCGGACATCTGCACTCATCTCTCCTGGACCATCTCACCACCCCACTCCTCCCCAGCAAGCAACACTGCGGGCAAAGCCCCCAGGCTGGGATGCATGCTGGGAGCTAACCCCCATGGGAAGGGGCTTTGCCAGCCAGGCAGGTAAAAAACAGAGGGCAAGTCTGGCCCCAGTGTACAGGGCAAAAAAGTGGGTTCATTGAGGTCATCTAGTGTCACGACCACACTCCTTGTCTGTACAGAGGGGGGGCGTCCTCAACCCCTCTTTATTCTGTGAGGTGGCAGTGTGGACATGGTTGAGGACCACTGAGCGAAGGTACCAATAGACAGGAGATGCCACATGGTGAGTGATTGTTTGTTGCATGAGTGCTGCTAGAAATAGGCCCGACTGACTTTGGACAGCAGAGACCTTTGATTGGGTACTTTTCTCTAGGGCCAGCACAGGGGGATGTGGCTTAGCTGGGCTGACATTGGGCTGTATCAGGAGGGAACAACAGCCAAAGGCCTCGAGCCTTTCATTTAAATTCAAGCCACAGTGCTAAAAACATCCTCCAGCCACCTATCCCTCCCCACAAGCCAGCACAAGCTGAGTTCTCTCCTTCCCCCAGAGAGCAGGCCCCAGCTGGCTAGGGACTGCCCAGAGAAGAGAGGTGAGGGCTGTGAATTGTATGAAGTGCAAATGCTAAGGAGATTTTTCCCCTTCTGATTTTAGGCTGGCAGCATCTCTCATGGCCCAGTAACTCCCAAAACATGATATCAGGCCGGCTCCCACTCCTGGAGGGGAAAGCACACCCCTCCTCCTTTTAGCAACCGTATTTATCACTTCCTCCCTCCACCGCTCCAGAAAGCTCCCTCTGCTTCACGGTTCAGCGGAGAGGGAAGCCAGGCCCCTGTTTTGCTACCCTGTTTGTATATTTCCAATACTGGCAAGTCACCTACAGTGTGAGTGGGAGCAACCAGACCTACCAGAGCAACAACGCCAGTGCCAGGAAAAACACTTTCCATGGCTGCAATGAACCTCGCCTGCTCACGTTTTTCCCTTGGCTGAGTCTTGTCCTTGTTAAAAATAAAAGACCTGAGACTTTTAGAGCTTGTCAGCTTGCAAGCCCCAGAACTGAGCAAGTTCAGGCTGGTGCTCTGGGGCCCAACAGCTGAGTCTTGTTGTCTCCTTACCCAGCCCTGTCCCTGCGCCCTAAAGCTGACCAGACAATGCTGGTTCAACCCAGGTGAGCCTATTGCTAGACCATGGCACAGGAAGTTCCCAGAACTTTCCCAACCTGTCTAGAGATGGAAGAGTCACGTCAGTTGTTGGCCTCTCTGTCGGGACTGCCAACAAGTTGATGCCTGTGCACTAGGAACGAGAAAGAGGAATCACTCACTAATCTCATATTTGCCACCAGAAGACAGCTTCTTTCAGAGGCTGGTGGCACCCACACCTGCGTTCAAACAAGCATCCCCTAGAGGAAAGACACGGAATTCCCTCTCTGCTCCTGTCAGCCACCCCAGGGCCCAGTGGTTCTAGTTTTTTAACAACAAAAATGGCCAGCTCCTTAAAAGTGCTCAACAAAGGCTACCATTGTATCAGCGTTCCCTTACCAACATGGGTGTTGTTTTGGCGACCCCACTTAATCTAGATGCTGTATTTCAAATGAAGCAAGCCAGAAATTAGTCACGTTAAATTCGATTCTTTATTTAAGCAAGCTCACAAAATGTAATGGCTCCGCCTTTCCCTTCTCCCTCCATTCTTTCTTTAAGCTGTCTGAACTGCGTAAAGGGGCCACAAAGGGAGAAGAAACAGCCCCCTAGAGAATCTCCTGTTGCAAGGGGGTTCCTTGCCTGGCACAAGGCTGACATAAATGTTCTATGCTGGCCCCACTTGCAGCCCCAGGCATAGGGGGTGTGTTGAGGATGGACCAGGGGCAGGAGAGGTTTGGCCAGAATGCTGTGTGCTCCAGCTGTGCAATGCCTATAGCAGTGCAAATTAGAGCAGTGCTGGGGTTGCTCTAAATTGTGCCAGGAAGCCTCCCAGGTCAGAATTAGGGAGGCACAAAGGTGGCTTAAAGCCTGTGTGTGGGAAAGGAGCAACAGGAAATCCGTCCCAAGATGTGGCTCTCACAGGGTGCTCCCGGTGAGCGTCACTGTCAGATGAAGAAGGAGCTCTGAAGGTGGTGGCTGGACAAGGCCAGAGGAGGCTGATCACCTAGAGATGGGATATGCATTCACCTGTAAGGCGAGGCTGTTCCCCAGGAGAGATAGTCAGTGGGTCTTGGAGCTGGGCGAGGTACTATTGGCTGCTCCACCGCAGTCACGTCCCCTGAATAGGATTTGAGAAGGGAGGCGTTCTTGTTGGCCAGCATGGCTCTCTCGTTCCTGCGGAACTTTGCTCTTCGGTTCTGAAACCATACCTAGGAGGAGGGGGAAAGACAGACAGGCCAGAGATTATAACCTGCTCCACTGATGCTCTGCTTCTCTCCCTGCATTATCAGATACTTGGTGGCCCAGGCACCCTAGTTTGATGGTGGCCTGGAGAGCCAGAACCCCGTTGTGAGGAAAGGACCAGCAGTGGACGGGTGCAATGTGTTTGCAGAAGGAGCTTCCATTATGCCTGAGCAGCTAATCATCTTCCCTACCCGAGGTGAAGCGGCAGCATGTGGGAGGTCAAGCTGGGACCCACAGGGGTGATGCTCATGAGCTGGACCTCTCCTGCTTCTGGATATTCCAGGACCCAGGATGATGCTGGTGGCTTCATGTCTCCACCCCAGTGCCTGAGCACCAAGGATCCTCTCAGTGAAGATGCGGATGTCCTATCTGGTCTTTAAGATCACTGCTGCTCTGGGACGGGCTGCTGGCTGCTTGAACCTCATTCCTGAATGACAGGGATTCTTGAGAAACTGCTGCTGGTCCATTGCCCTGAGCTGTAGAAACGGCTGCTTTTATGTTAGGATTTGCCCTGCTGTCTGAATGCGTGGTGATCCCTTTCCCTGATTATGCCTGGCACTCATGCCCTGCCCTAAAATACAACACACATACCTTTGCTGCTAGCCCGTGAATACGCACACATAAGTTTTCACACACACAAACACTCACGCACATGTGCACAAGTTATTCGGCTCAGTACAGGGGTACTACGTGAATTTGAATGGCCTGTGTGGTGCAGGACATCAGACTAGACGATCTAACAGTCCCTTCTGGCTTTAATCTCTCTGAATCCATCAATGAACAAACATACGCACATGCACATAGGTGTTCTCTCTCTCACACAGGCATGCACGCACACACCCATAAGCTCTTTCCCTTCAGTCCAAGAAACCATCAGAATTTAAAAGGCTGATTTCATTCATTCTCTGACCCATCCCACTCTTGTGCTCTCAAACTCAAACTGCTCAAGGGATTTACTCTCACCCTCTGCACATCTTGGGGAAACCCCGCTCAGCTGAACTAGCAAAATGTAAGAACAAGAGAGAGTTTATGCTGTTATAACTCTGGTGATAACCGATGTGAACAGAGGTTTGGGAGGTGGACTGTATCCTGCAATGTCACTCTAGGCCTGGATGCTCACTGGGCAGTGGGTTCATCTGTTCTGGTTAAATAAATCTAACTCAAACCTTCATCAGAACCTCTGGTGGAACCCAAGTCTCCTGACACTTGGATAAGGCTGTGAGCAATTTGTTTCCTTGTAACTTTCAGTTTCATACAGCTCTGTGTTTCTGGGCTCTGGCAAGGATCGAGAAAGGTCAAGAACAGCTAGCCAAAAACTCAAAAGGTAATAACAAAATGTTTTTTAAGTACATCAGAAGTAGGAAGCCTGCTAAACAACCAGTGAGGCCCCTGGACGATTGAGATACAAAAGGAGCACTTAAAGACGATAAAGTCTTCACAGAGAAACTAAATGAATTCTTTGCTTCAGTCTTCACGGTTGAGAATGTTAGGGAGATTCCCAAACCTGAGCTGTCTTTTGTAGGTGACAAATCTGAGGAATTGTCACAGATTGAAGTGTCACTAGAGGAGGTTTTGGAAGTAAATGAGAAACTTAACAGTAACCAGTCACCGGGACCAGATGGCATTCACCCAAGAGTTCTCAAAGAACTCAAAAGTGAAATTGCGGAACTATTAACGATGGTTTGTAACCTGGCCTTTAAATCAGCTACTGTACCCAATGACTGGAAGATAGCTAATGTAACGCCAATATTTAAGAAGGGCTCTAGAGGTGATCCTAGCAATTACAGACCAGTAAGTCTAACATCAGTACTGGGCAAATTAGTTGAAACAATAGTAAAGAATAAAATTGTCAGACACGTAGAAGAACATAAATTGTTGCGCAAAAGTCAACATGGCTTCTGTAAAGGGAGATCATGTCTTACTGATCTATTAGAGTTCATTGAAGGGGTCAACAAACATGTGGACAAGGGGGATCCAGTGGACATAGTGTACTTAGATTTCCAGAAAGCCTTTGACAAGGTCCCTAACAAAAGGCTCTTACATAAATTAAGTTGTCATGGGATAAGAGGGAAGATCCTTTCATGGATTGAGAACTAGTTAAAAGAACAAAGGGTAGGAATAAATGGTAAATTTTGAGAATGGAGAGGGGTAACTAGTGGTGCTCCCCAAGGGTCAGTCCTAGGACCAATCCTATTCAACTTATTCATAAATGATCTGGAAAAAGGGTAAACAGTGAGGTGGCAAAGTTTGCAGATGATACTGAACAGCTCAAGATAGTTAAGACCAAGAACTTCAAAAAGATCTCACCAAACTAAGTGATTGGGCAACAAAATGGCAAATGAAATTTAATGTGGATAAATGTAAAGTAATGCACATTGGAAAAAATAACCCCAACTATACATACAATATGATGGGGGGCTAATTTAGCTACAGCTAATCAGGAGAAAGATCTTGGAGTCATCATGGAAAGTTCTCTGAAGATGTCCACGCAGTGTGCAGTGGCAGTCAAAAAAGCAAACTGGATGTTAGGAATTATTAAAAAAGGGATAGAGAATAAGACGGAGAATATCTTATTGCCCTCATATAAATCCATGGTACGCCCACATCTTGAATACTGTGTACAAATGTGGTCAAATGTATACAAAAAGATATACTGGCATTAGAAAAGGTTCAGAAAAGGGGAACTAAAATGATTAGGGGTTCGGAACAGGTCCCATATGAGGAGAAATTAAAGAGGCTAGGACTTTTCAGCTTAGAAAAGAGGAGACTAAGGGGGGACATGATAGAGGTATATAAAATCATGAGTGGTGTGGAGAAAGTGAATAAGGAAAAGTTATTTACTTGTTCCCATAATATAAGAACTAGGGGCCACCAAATGAAATTAATGGGCAGCAGGTTTAAAACAAATAAAAGGAAGTTCTTCTTCACTCTGCGCACTGTCAACCTGTGGAACTCCTTGCCTGAGGAAGTTGTGAAGGCTAGGACTATAACAGGATTTAAAAGAGAACTGGATAAATTCATGGAGGTTAAGTCCATTAATGGCTATTAGCCAGGATGGGTAAGGAATGGTGTCCCTAGCCTCTGTTTGTCAGAGGGTAGAGATGGATGGCAGGAAAGAGATCACTTGATCCTTACCTGTTAGGTTCACTCCTTTTGGGGCACCTGGCATTGGCCACTGTAGGTAGACAGGATACTGGGCTGAATGGACCTTTGGTCTGACCCAGTATGGCCATTCTTATGTTCTTATGTCACTCTCAGGGTGTTTCCAGCCTGAGCAGAAGCAGAAAGCCTTGGCAACCCCATGAAGAACCCTATCCTCTTGTGATTCCCCACCCAATCTTGAAATCTCTTGAGGTTCAGAACAAGTCAAGGGGATCTTTAGCTCTGATATGGACCATTCGTGGCAGTCTGGTGGTGTGATGAGACTCCCTGAGTGCACAAAGCTGGGATAACCAGCTCTCTCTGCTTCCCTCTCCCCAGGATCTCTAAGCAATGGTACATGGTTAGAGTGATGCTGCACTCCATCAACTCCCATCCAACATAATAGCCCCTTGGGGCCTGTTACTGCTGCCACAAGTCCTGAGGCTGCTTCAGCTTGCACAGGGGCACAAGGGGGGTTCAAACCCACGTTTGCTTGCCATACTGGGTCTACATGGAGTGCAGCTTAGCCAGACCAGAAAGCTAAAGCCAAGATGCACAACCGAACTTTGGGATCTCAGCTGAACATCTCAACCTTTTGAGGTTTCCCTCATCATGATCCAGAACCTCTTCTCTACCCCCAAAAGTAGCATAGCTTTGCCACTATAATTAAATATTGGGTGTAATGCCTCCATAGGAAGTTCAGTCTACAGTGTATAACCCACACAGCTCACTTTGGAGAAGGCTTCTTGACTTGGCATTTTTGCCTGTGTCGTCAATCTGATTACAAAAATGGACACCACTTCCAAGCCCCTGCTGAGTTGTCTCTGATTGCCAAAGCAGATTTGCACTTGCGTTTCTTTCCTGACACATTCCTACAGAACTTAGCAAATTCTCTCCCTGCTATAGAATTCCATTATCTGGCTGAAAAATTCTACAGAAAGGATCCTATTCTCTATTCAATTCTTTGGATTTTTCAGATATATTTGGGGCAGGGACTGAGGATGAAATTTTTAAGAGTACCTAAGTGGCATAGGAGCTCCCATTTTCAAAAGTAACACGCACCCAGGATCCTAAGTCCCATTGACTTTCAGTGAGACTTTTGAAAATAGGCTTCTAAGTCACTTCTGAAAATTGTGGCCCTTGTCTTTGTATGGATTTGTACAACACCTAATGCTATGGGGCCTCGATCCCAATCTGGGGCTCCAGGGCTCTACTGCAATAAAATTATTGTTATTGTCCTGTTTGATTTCTATAAAACCCTAATGTTTCACTCTATTCAATATGATAGAGCTTTTCAGAAGGATCTCTATGGCATTTATATGTTTGAGAGCTTTACTGACAGTAAGGCCCATGTTCTTTAACAATCCTCTATCTCTGCAGCCATCGTGCTGGCTGGGTGAAGGCTAAAGCCATGGCTTGCTGACAGTACCTGGATGAGATGGGTGGAAGATTGACTTCTGGCATTACTTACCTGAACTCTGGCTTCAGTGAGGTTGACTCTGCGTGCGAGGTCTTCTCGTACAAAGGCATCAGGGTAATGTGTCCTCTCAAAGACTCTTTCCAGCGCCTGGAGCTGGCTGCTGTTGAAGGTGGTCCTGTTTCTTCTCTGCTTTCTTTTCTTCTTCTCTTCCGAGTTCAGCTGATCATCTAGAATGGGAGAGAATCAGACAGATGAAGTGCTGGAACTAGATTACTAGTGTTTCTGAAGCATCAACAATTACCTTTAAAAAAAATTTAGATCTCTGCATCATTAATTTAGATCTCTGCATCATTTGGATAAGAGATAAAAAACAAGATCCTGGCCACTTGGATTAAAGTTGAGACACACATTTTTCATAGATTCATATAAATGAATATATTTGGATGCCAGAATAAATCATCCTTATCATCTAGTCTGACTGCCCCTGGAACACTGGCCAGAGAACTTCCCCCAGTGATTCTTGTATCAAAACCCATAACTTCTGGCTGAGCTAGAACAGACCTTTTAAAAGAGATTAAACATCAATTTTGGAAGTCTGGGCCTATGGCTTCATGTCCCTTTCTTCACCAATTGGTCCTGGGACTGGGACTTTTCAGCTTGGAAAAGAGATGGCTAAGGGGAGATATGACTGAGGTCTATAAAATCATGACTGGTGTAGAGAAAGTAGATAAGGAAGTGTTGTTTACTCCTTCTCATAATACAAGAACTAGGGGTCACCAAATGAAATTAATAGGCAGCTGGTTTAAAACAAACAAAAGGAAGTATTTCTGCACACAGTGCACAGTCAACCTGTGGACTTCCTTGCCAGAGGATGTTGTGAAGGCCAAGACCATAACAGGGTTAAAAAAAGAACTAAATAAGTTCATGGAGGACAGGTCCATCAATGGCTATTAGCCAGGAATGGCAGGAATGGTGTCCCTAGTCTCTGTTTGCCAGAATCTGGGAATGAACGACGGGGAATGGATCACTTGATGATTACCTGTTCTGTTCATTCCCTCTGTGGCACCTGGCATTGGCTGCTGTCGGAAAACAGGATACCGAGCTAGATGGACCTTTGGTCTGACCTAGTAGGGTCATTCTTATGTTCTTTCTTTAAGCTGTCTTTCTAATACAAATGTTTCCCTCTGTTCCACATTGCAGAGGGTAGCAAACCGACAAAAATCTTCCAAAGTTTGGATAGGAAACATGTGGAGGGAAGTGAAGACTAGACTGAATGCTTCCCTCTGCCCAATGTTGGTAGAAGCCCTTCTGTGCAGACAACTTAATGCAGACATAGGGTCAGAGCTTCATCTAGTATACACTGGCATAGCTCCACTGAAGTCAATGGACCAGATCCCCATCTGGTGTAAATCAGCAAATCTCCACTGAAATCAATTTTAGGAAAAGAAAATAGGAACTCTGGACCTATTCAGCTTGAGGAGCTCACCATCAGTGTGTAGGGCCCTTGATGTGGAGAAATTACGCTGCTAGAGTAGATGTCGAAGGTCCATCAGGTCTGGGCTGGGATTCCTCAAACCCTTCAAACTCTACTGGATTTAGAAGGCCATCCTCCTTGCTTCTTCTACTCTAACATTAATTCATCTTTCCGCCCCATTAGACTATGATCAAGGGACTTTTCTGTGAAGGTAGGGCAGCCTTGGGATGAAGGCACTGGCATAGCATTTAGGAGACCTGATCTGCCATGGATTTTCTCTGTGACTTTGGGCAAGCCCACTTTACATCTGAGGCCTGCAGAGGTTAAGTAGGGATAACATCTCCTTCCTCCCACCTTCTCCCTGTCTGTTCATTTACAGAGTGAGCTCTTTGAGTCAGGAATTGTCTCTTACTGTGTGTTTGTACAGTGACTAACATAATTGGGCTCTCATCTCAGTTGGGACTGCTAGAAGCTATCCTAATACACGTTATCATTGGATGGTTTTTGTATTCGGTTTTTCTCTTGGCACATTTTTTGCGATGAAGAAGATAATGTTGTTCTCCATCACTAGCTGTTGCGGTCAATGCATGCTTCTGAGGTCTCCCTAATTTCCAGCTGCTTTGCTTTTTTGCAGCTGAAATTCTTTGACTGGCTACCTTCTTCTCAACTTTGCCAGTGAGACCTACCATAAGTAGCGGCTGCTGCATATTCCCCCTCCTCCATCCCTTTACCACCAGAGGTGATTGGTTCACATGGCTGAGCAAAGGACCAGCTGTTCTAGTACCACTCATTTCAAGTATTGAACTGAGGATTTAGAACCACCAAGACAAAAACCATGCCCACTGCATTAATAGGGAAATGCAAAGACAATCCTATTCCCATGTGCACAGATGTGCCAGGATACTGAACGAACAGCACAGTGGTCAGATACAATGGTAATCGATCCGCTTACCCATTGTCCTGCCACGACGCAGCTAGTTATGGGTATGCCCAACCTCTGCTGTTTTGTGATAGTGACCTGGATCTGGATGAAAAATTCACCACCTAATTATTTTTTGATTTAGCCCCTTGCTGCGAATGGTCCACAGACAGGTGGCGATTTTTACGTATTTGTTTGCTCGTCAGCACTGCTTGGTTCACGCTCAGAGCTCATCCATTTCAGCTTAGGCCTTATTCACAAAGTGTCTGCTGCCAGTATGCATTGTTCCCGAGTCACTGGTTGCCCTACATGATTAGTCACCTAACTCACATGGTTGGTTGGGTTTCCATTTTCTGCAGTTTGGAAGAACTATACTTTATAAACAGGAAGACTACTCGAAGAACTCATTGATTGGTTGCTTCTCTCAAGAAAGCACCGGAAGATCATTTTCGGGGAGAGAAAGAGGAAGAGAGTGTGCTAGCAGGAACTCAGCAGGGGCTGGGAGTTTTTCAATTTTTCTTTCTCCTCTTCTGCAAAGGAAAAACCATTGCATTTGCCTGTGTGCCTGAGCCTTGGGTTTTTAACAAGCTAGATTCCTTCGTGATTGACAGAGAAGACAGATTTATTTGCTGGCTAGGAGGCCCAATATTCAGCGTTCTCTTGTCATAGTCAAGAAAAAGCAATTGAATGTATCCGTATTTGCTCAGTCCCAGCTGCAAAGGTTACAGAAAAATCCTTGTCTGGGTCATTTAATTGCCTTTATGCCAGGGCTCTGGCTGGGGGTAGGGAGGGGAAATTCACTGTGCATGTCCCTATTCCCTATATAACGTCACACACTATTTCACAAATCTGAAGCAGGCAATGACTTCCACTGGTCTTCATTTTGTGTTGCACAGTTGTTCACTAATGGCTCATCACGGTCATGAAGCACAGAGCTACTGCAAAATGTGCTTCACATGCCCCATTTGCTTGTGGTGAGTGTATTAGTGACAGGTCTCTCCCCTGGCTCCAAGGAGCACTGCCGTCATCCTGCATTAAGTGCTGTGCATCTATTGATTTTCCCACGTTTGGCCGTTAGGGAGCACGCTCACTGCCAGTCTTCAACAATTTAGCGTGCTCCCATTGGCATAAGCTGCACTGAACTAGCTTGCTGCTCCATTTGATTCGTTGCCTCAGTGCAAGCAGCCAAACCTAGGAGTTGCTGTATTCTCCCCCTTCCCAACCACCACACTATTTCCTATATCTGCCATGAGCACGGATTGAAGGTACTGATCTCCATTTTCTGTCATACATCAACTGCTCGCTGCAACCATTAACTGCATGGACAGGCAGTAGTTGTGAGCAGTGGGGTCACCAGTCTATATTGCGTATGATTGATTGCTAGGCCTCTGGCTCAGGGGCAGGATGGATTTAGATCTGTAACTCCTACACTTGCTCTAAATAGGAAGGATGGGCTAGTAGAAAGGGCACTGGGTTAGGTTGCAGAAGATCTGCCATCAGCTACAGACTTCATGGGTGACCTTGGACAAGTTGCTTGACTTACCTTGTGCCTCTGTTTCCCCATCTGTAAAATGGAGTAATAATTCCCTATTTCATAAGATTGTTACAAAGCTAAATTCTAACTCTAATGGATTGATTTCTAAGGATGCCACCCAACTGGGCACAGCACAACCTTTCCAGGTGACTTTTAGAGGCAGCAACTCTCACCAGGGCAATTCTTATCAACTATAACAACTTGCACTAGGGTCCCAAGACTGCATTTTGAAGACCTCTGTACTAAGATAATTGGATCGTGACTTTTGTGTTCTGGACAAAAGTCCATCATATACTACAGTAAGGCCACCAACCTTACATTCACTTTTGACCCTAGGCTGCTCATGCTCTCCATGCTGTAGGTCAAAGGCCAATGCACTGACCCATTTACCATTCATCCCCATGGTAATATTTGTAATACCCTTGCATAACGTAACGGAACTTGCAAACCTGGATGTCTGGGTGACAGCAGATTGCTTTTCATGTACCAGCATTTCTCAAAGGGCTGTATGTACAGATGATAAGCTATGAGGAGATACAGAATATACATCAGAGATTCCAGCTATTCAACTTAAGGGGGTGGGGGAGTTCTCTGGCCGTGCTATGCAGGCCAGATGATCACAATGGTCCCTTCTGGCCTTGGAATCTATGAATCTATGAATGAATCTGTCTATAAAACAAAACCTTTTCTTGAGCCAGGAACAACACTGAGGACCAAAGCTTATTGGACATGTGCAGCCACCATTATCGGTGTATCTGGATTCATAAAAGAACAAGGATATCAGGGCCTGATCCAACACCAATTTAAGTGCATGGGAGTCTTTCCTTTGACTTCAGTGGAGTATGGATCAGGCCCTTAGTGTGCAAACAGTGTTTGCTATTAAGTATTTGCTATTTGGCATTGGTTATTCTCCTGTTTAAAATGGTTTCAATCATCCAATCAGGAGCAAAAACAAAACTATGGGACTTGGGTGACCCATCACACAGAGTTTATGAATAAACAGTCTTGGATTCATGCATGATCCACGGGTATTTAGTTGCTTGGTCAATAATTCAACAGATAGTGATCAAATAATGATACAATGTAATTATAAACAAATTTAGGAAAACTGTTCACAGGTAGTCTAGGAACAGGTAGTCATGGGTTCACAGGTAGTCTAGGAACAGAAAAAAGGGGTTCAATCCATAGACTAAATCCAGCCCTAGTGAGCAGAGACCAAGTAAGATCTCTTTCCCCGTCACAATCCCAGGACAGTCTGCTGTTGTTCTATGTTAGTTTTACATTGTCTACTCATATTCAG